TACTGAATCGCCAATCCATATGTCTTGGTTGGTACCTATAAGTCAGATGCAAAGCATGAGAAACGTGAATGAATACCAGAAACTCACCCATTATAGAGAAACATGAGTTTCATTTTTCGTATTTCTTCTTCGAATTGAGACAAAGTTGTTGAATAACGAACTGTTATCGTAATAGCAGTATCAACAGTGTTTCTAAAAATATGACCAGGATGATCTGATCCAAATGGTTCCACATATGGCTCAGTTGCTTCTTTATGATACAATGAAATTATTCATACTGCGTTACTGTTCTGAACGAATACATCAAGAAATGGAACACTTCTATCGATTTTTCGCACTAGTTTAATGTTTGGATGAAAGTTATTAGCTCCATGTAACATTTGGTCGATAGATTCGAGTGAATCGTTCGATGTAAAGAAAATATCGTCAACATATCTAAAATGAGATATAATAGTCAAAGTATATTCTTTTATGAACCATATTAAATACCGACCGTATATTTCATTGGATGCTACCAGTCAGTGAACAAATTGTTTCTTTCATTTTGCGCATGAAAATATTAGCTAGTGCCAAAGTAAATGCTAAGCCCATTGCACCACCAATGACTTGTTGATATAATTTCTTCTCATAAACAAAAAGCATTTTCTTTAATGACAATAAGAGCTAACTTTCGAATAGTATCAATTGGAATATTTCGAAATTTTTCATAGCCTTGTTGAAGGAGAAATTCAATTAGAATATCAAGTGATTCTTCGTGTGGTAACATCTTATATAAATCTGTAATATCAAACATGTATAGATACGTTTTTGGTTTTAGATATCCGCTTGTTGCATATGCTTCTAAACGTTGAATAAAATCAACTCCATCAATAATTGTGATTGAACGTGCATGTTTATCAAATATTGGTCGTATTAATTTGTCCAAAAACTTTGAAATTCCTGTTGTTGGCATATTCATTGATGATACAATAGACCTCAGTAGTGTTCCTGCTTAATAAAATGCGTTGAATAGAGATAAGAATCAAAATTAAAAATGAACTACCTTGTGGGGTTCAGGAATGAAATACAAATAAGCTAACTGAACTTTTTCTTGTTTCAACATTATTTTATCTAGCTGCTACGATAGAATATATTTTTTTGAACGAAGATCATTGAGTAAAAGAATAACTTTATCAAACACATTCTATGACGGATTAGAATCCAATTCAATATAAGCACCAGTTTTTTGTCGATAAGCTTCTGCTTTCTTTTCATAATCAGCTGAATGTGAATGACCGACATGAAAAATTCCACTTTTATCTGTCTCACGAAGAATATAGTTTCCTGTTTTTAGGCTACGTTGAATCGATTTCATTAGTTTGAATTATTTCCGTGTTCAATATATGCTTAGGTAAGATAATGGAATCATGTATTGTTGATGTAGACTGGTTCCCTATTGTTGAGAAAATTTTCTGATAATTGTTGCTGCCAGTGGAATATGATGCTCGCTGATAAAATAACGAGTTATCACATTCATAATGTTTTTATGTTCTTGCTTCACGCATGTTTTTCTTGATATTTAAGAGAATGAAGAGAATTTTGATTTGATCTGATATAATTAGGACCTTGAAATAGAAAAAGTATTACGACATCAATATATAAGAATAAATTAACGGCTAAGACAATTCTACAATAGAAAGGTAATCTAATTGATATTGATTAAAGTATACTTTAGGAACGTCGACATTAATTTGTGGATAGACATCGGGTATTTGCTGTTTCGATAATAAATGACGGTGATGCTGACGTACTAATTTTACATGGACTCACACTTCTTTGTAACGAATTTGGCGTATAATCGATTTGTGTAATGGCTCAAATAGCATTTCAATAGAGTCATCAAAATATCTGCCTGTGTATATTGATGATTTAAGCTTATGTCTATGAGTTTAGATTCAAATATTTTGAGTTTTGTTTGATACAAATCTTCATAATGTTGAAGCCCCAATTCATAATTGTTCAGCTGATCATTAAGTTTTCGACGTTTCAATTCTTGCATAATTTTATTAGCTTCATTTTCAAATAAATTTTGATATGTAGCTATTGGAATGCCATCGAATGTTTTTGGCAATGTATGACATAAGATTCGTTGTTCAAATATAGTCAAGTCTTCGAAAATATTTAACTGCTTCTTGCGCATAGTGGTGATCTGATCGATTACTTGATACTAGACAGCATAAAACAATAATAGGAAGGATCCGATGTGCTATTCTTACTTGTATTTCAGCTAAGTGGTAAGAAGATAATTAATTAAACAATAGTTTTTCACAGATAATGTCTTTTAATTTATGGTTTTGATAGTTAGACTGTTCTCACTAAATCAATATGATGTAAACGAACAAAGTCTTTCAATATATTATCTTGCTGATTGATTCTGTTTTTCCATAATATCAAATATTCTTCGATACATTTTTGAATATTATCATTTTCATTTGATTGTATTATATGAACTGTCATTCTGTAAATGAAACCAATACTATTGTATGAACTGAGACAAAGCAGATTCAACTGACTGGCCAGATATAATAAATTTGATATAAATGATGAATTTGATAAAGACAACATTGCTTGTCAAATACTTCAAGTCGTGATAGTGTAAATCGCTGTTTTTTTGTCTTTTCATAGACCAATTTAATTGAAGACGTAATGAATGCAAAAGTAATTTTCGTGGCATCTTCAAGTATCGTGATGACCTATAAAAAGAAATATCATCGTTTTCATTCAACCGATCCCTATTATCATGAATGGATGATTTCATTTCAAGCTGAGAACTCTTCATTTTTTTTAAATGAATGACTATCATTTACCACAAATAGAAATCCACAGACACATCTATACATCATATCCACACTTGCGGTGAATAAAACAAATATGACCCATTCTGGTGACCAAATAGGGATTTTTGATTTAGGGATTTTTGATTTAGGGATTTTTGATTTAGGGATTTTTGATTTAGGGATTTTTGATTTAGGGATTTTTCAATTTAGGGATTTTTTTTATACAATATCTTGTTCAAGTCACAACCGAACAAGGTCCCAGTTAGGGGTTCATCAATACCAGTATACTGGGT